TGCAATCATCAAGAATAAGGAGGTCAATTCAGGAAAGCATTACCCCTCCTGGAAATATGAGAGATGGAGAAAGAGATCCGTTGCCACTTTAACACTAATTTACAGTTAAGATGAAAGACTTTTGAATTGCTCTCACACCAATGTTTTGAAAAAAACCTAATTTACGAGATAAGTAACATATTTATTGCATTATGGTGTTTGTAGCTACCATTATGTACATGGAAAGTAGTAAAAATAGATTGACGTTTATATCAATTTATTACTAATCAAATTTGCGAAGGATGCAAGAGAACTTAGAGAAGATAGCTTGATTAAGGTCGGTAAGACCTGTTTATGGATTCATTTGTTTGTTCTGTGATATTGAAACGTGTTAAGTGAAGTATATGTAGTAATATTATGGGTTTGTTTATTTGTAGAAAACCTATTTTTAATAAACTTAATCCTTAAACTTAAGTTGCAAGGGTAGCGAGTGTGTAATTATAGAGAATTGAGTTTGAACGACACTGCAATCTATGGCAATCGCGGGTTACCTACATTGCTGTCATATTCATTTTTTGAATGATAGGCCATTGTTTCATGCTCAGAAAACATAAATATTCTTTTCATAAAAAGTGAACTGAAAATTACAATCACGCCATAGCACTGCGGGCTCAAATTTCTTTGTTCTGCAACTTCGGCGGCCGTATTATGAGCCGACTACATCTAGTCGGCTAAATTAAATTATCATATGCAAGATTCTTTCGTCAAATTAATTCCTTCATTCGTAGTATTGTGTTGTGTTAATGTATAAATGTTAATGAAAAAGGACAAATTTTGAGTTAAGGTATATAACTTTTGAGAGACAATATTTTTCGGATATTGTGAGAACATGGTGTTTAACAATCAGCCTCGTACCCAGGCGCTCTATTGGAAAACATGAAGGCTACATTCAGCGTAATATATAGAGATCTGTGGCTAAGGTGTGCCTGCGTGAGGCAGGTTAACAATGCTGACACTGCGAAACTACGTTGTGATACTAATTCTTTAAAATCCATGCAATGTAAAAAAGGAAATATTTCTACAGATTGTATTACGTCAGTGCTAATTAGGATTGGCGCGATTGCAAAATTGGAATATTATACCTATTCCTACATGACGTTTGATTCGTTTATTGCAAAGTTTTGATGTAGGGTCGCAAAGTAAATTTCTCTATTTATTACAAATTATGAAGTTAAAAAGTGATCGCAATAGCTATTCTGTATCCTACTCTAAATAAATATTGGTATTACTCTAAAATTATATATGATACTATTTCGTCGAGAAATAATTGTGCTCTCCTATATAGAACCGCTCCAAAACTATAAACTAAAAATGTTCTCAGATCTATAGAAAATCAATGATAAAGACCATCATGCTTGAACAATTAAGTGATAAAAAAATGCTGTGCTTGTTATTTGAAAGAGGGAATTTCGGTGACGAGTGGATGCTTGTTATACGTGTCACTTTGAGAATATTTATAACTTATTTACCCTTATCTATATCAAAAGAAAACTAACCAAAGTATAAGTCGTCTATATATACGTGAACTGGTTCTGGTCATAGAATGAACAAGGGATGTCAACTTTGAGTAATCTAATTCAAATGTATTGCTATTGCCAATATTGATTTTGAATAATCATTATAGCCAGTGTCATCAATGCTTGGTTAAACTGTAATTTAAGATAATCGAGAATCTTAGTTGTTGTTGTAGATATAAGTTGCGATGAAGGTTAATATTAAATACAAACGATAGTATAAATATGTGTACTCATTGTATACCTGACGACGTTAATTGTAGAAGGGTAACTATTATCTTATCAGAAAAAAAACTTAAATTCAGCATTAAAAATTAAAAATTCATGATAGCAAAATAAAGCTTCCGTCAGATATTTTCTTCGAGACAACTTTGAACAACATTTCAAGTTAGCTTTTAACTTTTTTAAAAAATAATATTATAGCTATCATAAGGATATGTTCTGCCTTGATTTTTCTAATTTTCTTAAAAATTCGAAACACTCTGTTTCAACCAGACACCCTGGTGTTAGATGCACGCTGCGCACAGCGTGAGGTTATAATTTCTACCTAAAACCTCCTACACAAAAATATATTTTAGTTTCATGCAGTTGTTCGATGACGTAGGTTTCTTCAGATAATATTAGCTATATATACGCTTTTGAATCGCTACGCAATTTTGCATAGGAGCCTCGTTCCTGCGAATTGTGAGCCAATTGCTTTCCGTGTTTTCCTCTTAAGAGCGAGGCTTAATTTAAATTAAAACACATATTTGTGACTACATGCACTATTGATAACTCCGCTGACACGGAACTGTAGCTGCAGTGTTATCAATAGCTGCAGTGTTATCAATAGCTGCAGTGTCAGTTTGCGAGTTGTATAATATTTTACACAGTATTGGGATTATTTCCGAACTGCTGTTAGAAGGAAACTAATAGCAGACACGAAGGCTATAATTATACTTTATTTCACATTTTCACGTTATGGGGATTTATTGTGGTGACGAAATTATTGTGATCTTCCTACTATGTTTAATTCGGTCTTATACAACTCAAGCAACGATCCAACATAGTGTCAACAAACTGCATAAAGGTAATATGGTATTTCTTTCATAACTACATTTGAACTTTCAGAACTGAGCTATTTAGGTACGTAAGCAACCTATCTCTACTGGTAAATGTAGAAGAAAAATATGTCATGATAACATAGTTGATGGCTCCTTTTAGTTTCAGGAGAACCAAATGCTTTGGATAATGTTCGGATAAATACTTAGGATAAAATTATATGATAAAAGACTTATTTGACTAAATTCCCTTCCACATCCCTTTCACTGTTTTAGGAATTCCAAATGCATTGGATGGTGATCACTCGCAAAAATTGCACAAGCCGATACAGGAGAGTGGTATAAACTCACCAAAAAAAGACCCACAACTACAGGATAGATTAAACTGCAGCAAACAGTTTCTAGGTAAGGTACTATAGTTTCTTAAGCTACCTCTTCTTTCTCTCTCTACGAATAATTAAAGTGGATATTATTCAACCATGAATTTGAATAATCCGATACTAGTTTGTTGCAATTACGATATATTGTACCCTCGAACATTCTCCTTAGAATGATAAAACACTTGACCACATTTCTCTTACTGTTTTAGGAATCCCAAATGCATTGGATGGTGATCACTCACAAAAATTGCACAAGCCGATACAGGAAAGTGTTGGAGACTCGCCAAAAATAGATCCTGAAGCCATAGCATCACCGCTTTCTGTTGGTAAGCAGAATAGACTAAACTGCAGCAAACGGTTCCTAGGTAAGGTACTACAATTCCTTAAACTGCCTCTTTCTTCTCTCTCCCTGTCTCTACGAACGAATAAACAAAGTGGATATTACTTGAACAACTATAGAACATTTTCCTTGACATGATAAAATACTTAAACATATTTCTCCTACTGCTTTAGGAATCCCAAATGCATTGGATGGTGATCACTCGCAAAAATTGCACAAGCCCATACAGGAGAGTGGTACAAACTCACCAAAAAAAGACCCACCACTACTTTCTGTTCAAAAGCAGGATAGAAATAACTGGGGGGAATGGTTTCTGGGTAAAGTACTATAATTTTTTAAACTATCTCTACTTTCTCTTTCTATGAAAATCAAAGTGGATATTTTAATGATGAACGTATTTTAATTATGAGATGTCGTACCTAAGAACATTTTACTTAAAATAGAAAACACATAATCACATTTCTCTCACTGCTTTAGGAATACCAAATTCATTGGATGGTGATCATCAGGGCTCGCGGGGCGTATTTATCGCCTATTGTGTTTTTGGAGTACCGCAAATACTTTAGATTGAACATAAAAAGACAAGAGTTTGATAGAGTTCCGTTACCAACGTAGAAGACGTAGAACTGGAAACATAGAGATATATGGAGGCGAAAATTTTCGAACAGTCTGCTGGATTAACTGTATAAATTATAAAATGTTAAAGCTGGATAAATTATAAAACGATAGAAAACGTTTAGTGTTTGGCTTTGATACTAGCAGAGGTATATAATAGCTGCTGTTTGCTACTAAGACCTACCACGCGATGTAACCACACAATTAAGTACAAAATAATTATACTGACGCGAGTCTAATTGAAATGCGCGAGAAAATCATTTGTTTACTCTCCTTGCAAGAGCTTCATGAACAGATATTGCTATATACGTTTCTCCAGTTTCTGGCTTTTCATTGCCGACACGGAATCCGTGTACAAGATGAGATTCACGAGCGCAGGCATCTAGCGCGGTGTTTCATAACGTTAGGTTTCAAGATTTAACTTTAAAATCAGGGGGGGTGTTAGTACATTACATCACTTCCACAGAGGAGATTTCGAACTTCAGTATTTTTTCCTACTAGCTATGTAAACATTTGAAGCATGCACAGTGTAATAAAATAATATCCTGTTTTAGACAAGGAAAGATCGCTCTGGCTTACCCAAAAAGGGGCCGGTCACCGAGAGACTTTAAGACTGACTATTATACGGTAATCGTCAAACCGCTAACGACATACTTCATTTTATATCTCTGTAATGACTGTTACTATTAGAGCTTCTACACCAGTTTGGAAACGTATTAAACACCTATTACATGAGTAGCTGTGATATTTAACAATGATTTGAGAAGCAAACTAACAAATATGCCGTATTTTGCGCTTGAAGTTTACGTTTTCTGTACGAATTTCATGCTGTGTGAGAATATAATGTTTAAAGCGTGCAATTTATACGCTATAAATACGCGACCAGTGGGTATAGTTTGCCTTCTTAAACCGTTCCCCAACTTAATGCTTGTTCGAAATGCTGAATAAAACTGATATGATGAAAACTATCACGAAACCGGTCATAATATAGCTGTAAATGAAAATTCTCAATCGTGTTCTTTAGGAATCGCAGAGACATAAATCAGCAGGAGTCTGATGCAGAGACATAAAATCAGCAGGAGTCTGATGCATGCAGAGACATAAAATCAGCAGGAGTCTGATGCAGAGACATAAAATTAGCAGGAGTCTGATGCAGAGACATAAAATCAGCAGGAGTCTGATGCAGAGACATAAAATTAGCAGGAGTCTGATGCAGAGACATAAAATTAGCAGGAGTCTGATGCAGAGACATAAAATCAGCAGGAGTCTGATGCAGAGACATAAAATTAGCAGGAGTCTGATGCAGAGACATAAAATCAGCAGGAGTCTGATGCAGAGACATAAAATCAGCAGGAGTCTGATGCAGAGACATAAAATTAGCAGGAGTCTGATGCAGAGACATAAAATCAGCAGGAGTCTGATGCAGAGACATAAAATCAGCAGGAGTCTGATGCAGAGACATAAAATCAGCTGGAGTCTGATGGAGAGACATAAAATCAGCAGGAGTCTGATGCAGAGACAAAAAATCAGCAGGAGTCTGATGCAGAGACATAAAATCAGCAGGAGTCTGATGCAGAGACATAAAATCAGCAGGAGTCTGATGCAGAGGCCTAAAATCAGCAGGAGTCTGATGCAGAGACATAAAATCAGCAGGAGTCTGATGCAGAGACATAAAATCAGCAGGAGTCTGATGCAGAGACATAAAATCAGAAGGAGTCTGATGCAGAGACATAAAATCAGCAGGAGTCTGATGCAGAGACATAAAATCAGAAGGAGTCTGATGCAGAGACATAAAATCAGAGACTAAGGGAGGTTTTCCGCTGTCGTGTTTTTTTGTACAACGTATACGCACGTAAAGGTTTAAAATAATTTAAATAATACTTATAAAATCAACGATTGAATAGATGCATAGGGTTGGATTCTGTCCATGATTTGGCATAGAATTAATTATGCCACAACTTAGAAGGTTTTAAGTTTTTCCCGTACGTGTACGTACGTGCAAAAAACGCGACAGTGCAGAGCAGCCCTGAATGATGAGATCTGCATCCTATGCATAAATCCTATATATTAAACCAGTATATCTATATATTTTAGTTGTGTCAGAATAGGTGGGTTCTATACGCGATACCAGATAACCATAACAATGTCTGACCAATACAGGGTGTATCAAAAAAAAGGTAATCCAACTTTGGTGCGCTATTGTACGTGAACTACTCATTCTATTAACGAATTTTTTCCACATTCCGAAAGGTTATGCTTTTAACTATCGAATGACATGTTTTTGATACCAAATGGTGAAAAAATGAGCAAATAGGAGGCTGATAAAAAGTGTTAGTCGAAATCGCATATTTTCACCTCTGAGAGTTGGGACTAAAACCATTGAAAATTAACTCTCTTTGGGACTTAATTGAAGAATTTTGCTTTTGAATAAGCTACCCGCATATGCATATTAAGTAGGAATAAGGAAAACATTCCAAGCAATGCGGCGTAAAACCAGTGCAAGCTGTGACATGTTCGTGATTAATTGTTTTTTTCTTTTGTTATGCACTGCTTTAATTAGGCTCAAAGGTGAAAATATGCGATTGCGACAAACATTTTTTATCAGCCTCGTATTTGCTCATTTTTTCACCATTTGGTATTAAAAACATGTCATCCGATAGTTAAAAGCCTGATCTTTCCGAATGTGAAAACAATTCGCTCATAGACTGAGTAGTTCATGTACAATAGCTTGTTGAAGTTGGATTACCTTTTTTTTGATACACCCTGTATAATCAAAATAAAATTATACGCCTTATTTTATGGTTTGAAAAGACAACCCAATTAGTTGTCAACCCAACTATAATGATCATTTTATGTTAAAATTTGAGGTCGAAGCAATAAGGCTATATAAAAGCCGAACAGTCTCTAATTGTGCATGGCTGCGCATAATTTTGACCAAATAGTGTAAATTATAACTTCTATTTATCACATGCATGCTAAATATCCACAGATCTTTTCATGAAATGTTTACAAAATATAAAAAGATTTGGTAAAGCGAGCAATAATCTGTTAATGATTATACTAGAAATACATGCATGCAGAAACCCCTCGCCTCGGTTTAACAAAATAAGTTATTAATTAAGCATAGGGATGGTAACATGATTGTTAGAAAAATTACTTATGTGAGAAAAAGAAATTGAGAGAAGTGTTGAAATATTTTTCTGCACGTGGAAGCACTGTAGTCATAGCAACTCGCATTCTCGCAACGGCCGTATATTTTTAAAGAATTAAAGTTTACCCTCATATTTTTGGGAAAAAATAGCAAAAATACGACAAGATTCTTACCTTTTTCTGGAAGTTAAGTTACTCATCTATAGTCAGTGTTATGGTAAATTATTTTAATTATTAATTACCATGAAATATAACATCAGACGTCTCATATAACTTCCGAAGTTTTATGTTACGCTTCGACTGGTTTTTGCACGGGAATGTTTTGATTTCCTTTTTTTTTGTCATTATGAAAACGGAGTTTATAAATAAAATTATAATGTCGTTTATCACATAACACATTCAGATTTTATAGTGAAATACATTTGAGAATATTAAAGTTGTGTATACTTTTTAAAGCTGTGGATGAAATATTATCAAGTGTAAAACTGATCTTCCGACTTTATTATACACGGTGAATTCGGTCAAAAATTTGGTCTTGTTATTTGTTAAACCGTGAAAAGTCCTGACCACATTCGAGTTTTCCTCTAATTTAATTAAAAATACATATATTCTTTATTTTATGAAAACATAAAATTTATAAATTTCATCAAAATTTTGCAAAATGACAGTTATTTATTGACGTTTGAAAAAACAAATTTTTGTCTCGACCAATCAAGAGCTTAGTGGTTCACTCTGGCGCATGCGCATAACGTAGAAGACCGTCCATGGCGTGAGGTCCATTGCATAATGGCGGACAACTTTGATTTCGCATTTGCACATCGTGGGTGTAAATATCCGAGCGGAATTAGTACCCTCGCACGGTGCTCCGCCACAGAATACCTAACAGAAGTAGAACTCCTGTACTTTTTTCGTAAGTGTGATTCGTCATGATTCGTCACTTAGCAAGTGCATTTTTTTGAGGTAGTCACCCCCCTACCAATATCAAATATGGCTTGATTTTGGACACTGGCAGGGGGGTGACTACCTCAAAAAAATGCACTTGCTAAGTGACGAATCATGACGAATCACACTTACGAAAAAATAGTATAGAGTTCTACTTCTGGTAGGTATTCTGTGGCTCCGCACCGGCTCGGGGAAAATACTGATAATAGTACGCATGAATATACACAGGAATTCAACGACTGAAATAGTGCTAGGTGGGTTCCTGGAAGAAGACAAAGAAATCTTCAACTCCCACGAAATAATTACTACATGCTGATAGCGTGCCTTGTTGTAACATAATGAAATATTTGATTGCTTTAATCACGAGAATAGATAAAACAGAAATGGTCGCATAAGTGGTTGCGTGGGCTTTATTCACAATTTTTAGTGCTTTCTCGAGGAATGATATGAGGAGCAGAACAGGAAATTTGTATCCTAATAATAATTCCACGTTATCAGGGTTAGTCAGGGAAATTATTTATGTGGTAAAGGGTGCACAAGAGCTGTTTTATGATGAATTTTCCATGATTCTATCACATCAGCCACCTTGACATATGTTCACAACACTTACGACTTGATGCATGGAAACCAGGCATTACAGACGCATGATGCGTCCATACGAACAACCATTTAAATTCGTCTAAATGGACGAATTATATGCGGAAAAATCGTCATGTTGATCTGTCTGTTTGCCCGTGTGTAAACACGGACGAACTAGAAGACGAACTATCCTTTGCTTGCTAAAGTTCTTCTAGACGCATGCCGATGATCCGTCTCTAGTATGAAACAGACCAATGTGTCTTAAAATTTCTATGATTATACGATTTTTATAAATCTTAAATGTAACTCATTACTAACTCATTGCATGAACTCTTTGAGAAGGAAATGAGCAAATACATTATAAATTGAAAAGGAAAATAATAATAGCTATACGAAGTACAGTACTATTCAATCTTCCATGCATCCAGCAATTATTGCGGGCACGAACTACCGCAAACGAGCCCGCAATATTTTTCTGCTAAAAGTCAAACAGTACTCTTATCAGTATTCCTCTCAAAGGGGGAGCGCTTCCAATACGAAACCGAAAATAAAATTTTACTCGTTGAGGTGTGGTGATTTTTCCCCTTCTTGTTATACTTATAGATCACAAGTTGGTCTGTTATGGAAGTAGTTCATTGTCGTGAACGAGTCTTGTCTAGTTCACATGCGCAAATAGAGATCATCACAACAGCCTCCTTGACATGTTCACAACACTTACGTCTTAATTGGCATAAGAGGCCACTTGCCTTGTGAATGCAAACATGCAATAATATAATGCTATTAGGGAGTTTTAAACTACGGTTGCGACTATACGAGAACACGATTCGTCATTCTTGGATGTTGGTTGCTTGCGCCCTTAGCTAAAACTCGTAGTCGTCGAAATGTTGAGTACAAGTTTGTTGAATAATTTTGTATTCAATTGTCCAACGTGTACGTGTTTCATTAGATGACGTAGGCAAACAGAACCGAGTTTGGCGGGAAAACGACGAATCTTGTAAACTCGAAGTCTGCTAAAGCATTGGTTTCAATTTAATTGTAATTGTCGTGCACAAGTCATTTTCATCGATGAGAAATAGTCCGGTGGTAAATTTGTCTTTATTCCTGTATGCCAATCGGCCTTTGTTAGTTAAACACAAATAGAAATAATTATTCTATCGCATCAGCCACCTTGACATGTTCAGGCGACACTCTGCCAGGAATAAAGAAGATTATGTAACCGCTTTGGGTCTTACGGTTTGAAGAAGTATTGTTGCCTTCCATTATAGACAATAATTGCATGGCAGTATCTAGATTTCAGTTTGAACTTTCAATGCTACTTGAAATTTTTAGAAGCGGCGCAGGCAGTTAGCAGGCTACATAAATATTAATACAAAATTTTCATTTTCAACTCCGGCCAAGGTTATTATCGTTTACACTCACAGCGGGCGATTGTTAAAACGTACGTCGTAAAGTCGATAAATCAATTTAAGTTTCATAATAAGATGGCAAAGGAAAAACGCTTCTGTTGATTATAGCATGCCCTACATTACTGCGAGTCGCGAAAATATTGTGTGCTGGTAGGATTTCAAGATACTTGATCTGTTAATTCCTTTACTGAATTCAGGAATAAGGTTTATGTTATCTGAAGAGTCAAGACAACCAATGACAATTTCGAGAATGACAAGGCCTGAATACGACGACATCAAATGACAATAACCAGTTTAACAACGGTAATAAAACACTCATAGCCACATCGAGTGGGCGATATGTTATAACGTTCGTAAATGTTATGTATGGCAAATAGACTTCGAAGAAATCAGCAATTTGGAAAGGTAAGTAAAATAAACGGTTTCCATGCAGGTAGTGATCGTCCTTCGACAAACCGTTTCAAAAAGGCTTTCATTGATAATTTAAAAGTGCCGGAAATATATATGCAGATTATTATTTATAACGTATGCTATGTACCCAGCAGGCTTAAATGTTTGATTTAAAAAGGTGAAATTAAACGTTAACTGTATTGATCTCGAGAAAGCTTCAGATTTGACTACAGCTCCCGCTATGCGGCTACGAGATTTGTCGTCGTGGTGTTGTACGGATATACGCCACCTTGAGGTGGCCTGATAAACCTCAGCATCCACTTTGATGAAGTGTATTTATTCTGTGAAGTATCTACGTTTGCCATTTCGAAAAATACACACAATTAAAGCCGCGGTGGCCTCGAGAAAGAGTTGTTTCGAATTATTTGCAGGAAAAGACGGGAAAAAACGAGTCATATTGCTTCTTAAATCACGTGGTGAAGACTACGAAGTTTTTTCAAAATGCCGTGGACTGATGGGCGACGACTACGAATCTATGGCTGATGCAGGAATGTCACGTCAATACGTCAATATATGTCTGGTTGCCATAGCGGTAGCCGTAGTCAAATCTAAAGTTCTCTACATTACGCACCAACACACTTACAAAACTTGGTTGTTTAAAATGATTCAGGCAATGGGAGAGTATGAGGAAGTATGGAAGGTAACGGAAACAGGGCGACCAAAGTCCCTTTGGAAAGAGTTGGTTCAGGAATACAGGGGAATTCATTTGAAGAAGTCGAGAGAGACTTTAATTGTTCGCGGCAAGTGACAAAAATTAGACAACGTCTAACGCCGTATATCAACAGCTGATGTTCTCAAATCCTATCAAAATGGAATGGTTGGACTTGACGTGGTCTAGATTGACATTTCAAACTATACGCGGTTATTGTATAAAGCATTATATTGTTAAATACCTGCCCGAAAGCTGTGCGCTTAAGACTCTGTCATGCGCCTCAAATTGGAACACTCAAGGAATCAAGAAAGGCGAGTAAATTGTTTTATAAGAAAATTTTAGAATAATGAGTATGCTAATAAGTTTACTTCAACACTTTCGTAATATGAAATGATGAATAATTAGTTTTATTTTTGGAATTATAATGTGATCATATTACAACATATTAAGGCAAAGTAATATTACTAGAAATCAAAGTGGTACGCGGGGATTATGTGCGATGAGAAATATAGAACATTAGAATACAGTTTCTTTAACAAACGCTTAGACATTGCTCAAACTACACGACTTGCAAAGTGTTGGATAGAATGCGTAGCGACAATGATACATACATATTTGCAGTTGTTTAAATTCAATAGAGTTATCCCTTTGCTTACAACTGATGAATACACAAATTCCACGAAGTAATACCTTAAACAGGCGACCAATATAACGAATAAACCGAAGTAACCGTATACTACATTCGGCACACACATACACATAACCATGAATGAAACAAACACATATAGTTTTGAATTTTTTATCAGGTCATGCGTAATAAAGAAACTTGAAGATGTTGGGGCAGGGGGTAAAACTACTTATCTCAATGAGGGGTGCGGTGAGAAAGTCCATTTAAAAAGTCGATTTCAAAGATTCTCTTTGTTATTGGTAAGTTCTCCTTTTTATTTTTGGCAGACATAGTCATATTTGTCTGCAATAATCCAATTTCACCGAAAATGCTTTATTTAACTTGTTAACAGCTAGCAATGAACGAAAGTTAACTTTCTATCATAACTTAAAGCATTTGGGGCCATATTGAAAAAGCGAACTAGCATCCAACTTTCGTCAAATTTTCACCAACTTTCGTCCGAGAAAGGCTCCGAGCTGTAATTTAATTCGACATTTCCTCTATATAGTTCTACATTACAATGTCTTCACCACAAGCTGGAGACCGGACAAGTTCAAACGTCAGAGAAACATCACCAGGTACTGTTAAAATGACATTGCAATAATTATAATATAACCCATGGCACTTTGGGAGTGCACACCAAACCTGTAGCATATGCTAGATATTCTATGCAGCTAGCTGGCACTATTCCTGTTAGGAGCACCTACCTAACTAGTAAAAAGTTTTTAACCTTCACAATACCAATACTGTACACATATTGTGGTAGGTACATTCACTCCATTGCACTAGCTTCTGGTGGCACACAATTTGGTACTAATTCAGCTATAATTAACAGTTAGCCTCGTTCCCAATGAACATTTAGTTCAGGCTAAAAAGAAAAAGGGAGCTATCCCTAAGCAGTGTTGATAATTTTAAACAATTATCAAAGAAATTTCAGTCCAAAAAAAAGAATTGCACGCATTATTGCACACACTAACAGTGTTGCATCGTGGTCAAGCAGCATACAGGAAGAAAGTAATTACCGATCACCGTTCCTCGTTCAAAAGCACAAACTTTGTTAACCCTTTGTTTACCCACAGCATTGTTAACCCTTGCTTTACGAGGTTATAACCACTCAAGGAATATAAGTTAAGCAACATACAAAACAGCAGCAGTGCAGAATCATACAAAACAATTACAACAATTTCGTAACTTTATGAAAGCACTTAAGTAGCATTTCTTTTCCATGAAGAGTAATTTTAACTACAAAAAACCGTCGCTTTATAGAAGAATATTCCAACATTGTTGAAACTCGTTTAATAACATAATAAATTGTACTCTACCAATCACCAGATGCTACAATTTTGTCGGTGAAATAATCCCACACAACCACAAGCACTTGATTTTAGCAGGGTATCACATTTTCAATCCACTGAAAGAGGTGGACTAATCCAACTATTATCTTATAATACTTTTGTTTCTCAAGGTGGAAATACAAATGGTATAGAAAATGATTCCAACAACATACACGAAGGAAGCAATAATCAATCTTTACCAGGTGATACAAATAATATAGTTAGTATTTTACCGCATGTTTCTATACAAGAATGACTGATCAAACTATTATCTTATAATACTTTTGTTTCTCAAGGTGGAAATACAAATGGTATAGAAAATGATTCCAACAACATACACGAAGGAAGCAATAATCAATCTTTACCAGGTAATACAAATAATATAGTTAGTATTTTACCGCATGTTGCTATACAAGAAGGACTGATTAAACTATTATCTTATAATACTTTTGTTTCTCAAGGTGGAAATACAAATGGTATAGAAAATGATTCCAACAACATACACGAAGGAAACAATAATCAATCTTTACCAGGTAATACAAATAATATAGTTAGTATTTAACCGCATGTTTCTATATAAGAAGGACTAAACAAACTATTATCTTATAATATTTTTGTTTCTCAAGGTGGAAATACAAATGGTATAGAAAATGATTCCAACAACATACACGAAGGAAGCAATAATCAATCTTTACCAGGTAATACAAATAATACAGTTAGTATTTTACCGCATGATTCTATACTAAAATTACTAATCAAACTACCAACTACACTGACGGTCTTTTTCTATACATTTCAGAAGCGAACATCCAAACGGTACAATCCATACCCCCTGGTACAGTCAGCATACAGGAAGGTACAAGTCTTGAAACTGCAGGTACAATTATATATATATTTTTAGAGCGTTTATTTTTAGCAGCACACAACAAGATAACTATATCCCTCCACAATCTTCTCTTAGAAGGCCAAGCTATTCCCACTGCATGAGTTGCAGATATTTCTAAATAAACTTTGGCCTTCAGCATTCCGTCAACTTTTTAGGAACAATAAGTTCTCCACAGCATGTACCCAAAAAACATACAATGTGGCTTGCCCACCACTTGTAAGCCTTTACGTTTTTATCCCTCTTTTACTTAAGCTTCCCCCAGAATTTAACCTTCTTTATTGAAACCTCTCTGTCATACATCCAACAAGGCACAAGATGACTATCATATACCATTCAGGAAACCTCTATTAGTTTCAGTGAAACACTACGTACTCCATTGCATAAATTTGAAACAAAATTAGGAACCATATGGTTCCAAAAACATAAAAATTCCACTTCCATTATAGGGCTTCACTCCCTTAGTTTGTAGAAACACAGGGCTAACCTGTGTTTCCGGACACTAAATTCCTTGCTGTAATGGATGCTTAAAAAAATTCAACATCTGGCGCCTGCCTTCACCGCACCCCCTCTTCTAACTTGACATCTCACATTTAGGGTAACTAATTCTTTAATAGGATATACCCTATAGAATATATTAAGGTATAACATAGCAACATATGAATCACTAGTCCCAAGCATAACATTTATAAATAATCTTATTTTGGTCGCATAAAAATGAAACAATTTAAAAAAAAACTATCAGCACTCTCCATGATTGCTGATTAAACAGGACATGATAATTTTGTTTCAATGGTTTAAAAGCATTCAACATGGCAATCCTCTGACATCAGGCTTACAACAGCAACAATGAGTTGCCTATATTTCATTATATTACTACAACACTGCGTGATGAGATTTCAAAAACAGGAAACGTGGCAAACCCTTCTTTTAGAAACCACCAATTAATTGTTAATCAAGATAATAACCAAACCTATAGCAGCAGGTTTTATTACTGTTTTAGATGTGCCAAGTGCCATTAGTCAGCTGCACTCGTGGAGAGTACGGAGGCCAACTCAAGAAAGCGTGACCCCTCCTGGAAACCAAAGAGATGGAGAACGTGATCCATTACCACTTTAAAAATAGGATAACTAATTGAAGAAGAACTAACGACAACTGAAAAACTGAATTACTATATAATATATTCAGAGCGGGTGTTACGTAGGTTTCCAGATTTAATTTTGAAATCAGGGGGGTGGAAGTACATATTATGACTTCCACAGAGGAAATTTCACAATTTCGTAATTCTCCTAATGGGTATGTAAACATTGTAAATTTAAAAACCGATAACGTGTGATAAATCTTTAACTTGTACTATATAACATAAACCCTAGTTCATTGAATAATAAATATATTCTGTCGCTGTGACTATAGTAATATTGCCAACAAAGTGTTGTGTTATTTCATTTTACTATTTAGCAAAACCTAGTTGTGCCTCCACATAATTTTCAAATAAAGTGAAAACTGTTCTTATTTATCAGGTCAAATTGACAAATATCCACCGATTGTCTTATTAAACGATCACAAAATGTAAAAAGATTTGGAAAAGCGAGAAATAACCTGTTTATGTTTATATAATACTGAAAAGAATAATCATACGCATGAATATACACAAGGAGTTCAACCACTCAAAGAGTGCTAGGTGGGTTATTGCATAAAAGCAAACAAAGATATCCACAACTCGAGAGATTAATTTGATTGCTTTAATCACGAAAATAGATAAAACATAAATTAACATACAAATAATGTATACACAGGTAACAGTCGGAAAATAAATGCATGGTAGCAATATCGTAGTAGCAATTAATAATTGACACACAGAATTATTTTCGAGTATATTATGCCGCAAAATAGCAAAAGCCCATAAAAGAAGAAACGAATAATTTGTTTACATGACCACTTTTTTTAAGAATACCACATATGTTGAATTGAATAAAAGAAAGCACAGGAGATGTTCAACAGAGTTCCGTTATTACAACATAAAAACAAGACCGTAAAAATTAAGATAATGGCTCACAATTAAGGAAGAGAATTTGTGAGAATCTCTACTAAGATGAAAGAATGTTTTACCGAGTTCCATGAAGAGATATTGCCATATACTTCTCCCCAGACTTCTGCTCTTCATTGTTGACACGGTCAGTTCAACCGACATTAAATATTAAAATACCAGCGGGGGGGGGGGGGTTGATAAGAACAACTTCCACAGAGGAAATTTCCCAATCTCTGCGAACTAACGATGTAAACATTTTACAAATAATAATGCTATCATATTAACGTGTCGATTAAAGCAACCCCCAAGTTTCAATAATTATTCTTTTAAAAAGTTTAATAAATAAATTAGGTGTAATAATAGTTATCACGAAAGAGGTTGTTACGGAGACTTCGATTCACTCGATCTTTTTATCAAATAGTTTTAATTTGCATGAACGAGTATACATCTTTACCTATATTATAGCTTCACAAGGGCATTGTCAAAACACAAAACTTCTCAGGCCCAAATACCACTGATCTCACCCTCTCCACGCCTACTTTTACTACCTCATCCCAGTGTTTTTGCTCGGCCAAATCCGTAATAATTATATTCTTAAAAGTATAAACTAAATGTTAACTTTAACTTTATGAGTCATTTAAAAAATTGTCAGTCTTCTCAACAGAGGTCATAATAGCTGCGAAATCGTCTGGTTTACGGTCTCAATGAGACTGATCGTGACTCAGTGATCTAAAATCAAAGAGTCAAATCATAGAATAAGCTAGTAAATATGCAAATATGGGCCATATAATATGCACATACTGTAGTAGTGTCAGAATGAGTGGGAATGTATAGCTTCTATATACGCGGCTAACACAATAACTAATAACATCACCTGGTAAATATAGCGACAATAAACGCGCCTTATTTTATGTGCTGAAATAACAATATTAAAGTCACCAGGTCATTGTATCATAAATTTACTCTGGCGCTGTCACTAGAACGTGTCATCAACAAAACGATGTGCTATTATATTTCAATGTTTGAGGTCTGAGCAATAAGAGTATATAGCCGAACTATCTAGCATGACTTAATCGAGGGTACGCATAATTTTAACATTAAGTGAAAATTATTAGTCAAAGTGACAGAATATCCACAGATCGTTTCATTAAACGTTTACAAAATATAAAAAGATTTGGTAAAGCGAGCGATACCCAGTTTATGATTATACAATATATACTCAAAGGAAAATAATACGCATGAATATACACAGGAATTCAACAACTCAAAGAGTCCTAGGTGGGTTCCTGGAAGAAGACAAAGAAATCTTCAACTCCCACGAAATAATTACTACATGCTGATAGCGTGCCTCGTTGTAACATAATGAAATATTTGATTGCTTTAATCACGAGAATAGATAAAACAGAAATGGTCGCATAAGTGGTTGCGTGGGCTTTATACACAATTTTTAGTGCTTTCTCTGTAATCCTGAACTAAGTCTCCAGTCAAGTCATATACTGATGAAGACACCAGTTGTTGTTTTACCGTTCGCTATATTTTGGCTCGTGCTTAAAAACACATCATTAAAACCGATCATATCGTCAATAGATTGCGCATCTTTTTAATCGACTATGCGAATTCTGAAGTCAGAATATTTACCATCACATTAAAGTTTCAATCTTTTAAGACTTTACAAACTGATAAATTGATTCTAAATTGGCTTTAACGTTAGGCGAATTATTTTGTATGTAGATTACCTAACACCATGACCATCGAATATCGTATTTGCTGCTTTTGCCGCATGGTATTAGTGAAGCTGTCAATCTCTGTATATGATTATCATCAGGCATCTTACATATCTCGATAAGTGATTAATACTCTTTCTTGTCACAAAATTTTCACAAGTTTATTTATATACTTGACGCTCATGTGAAAATTTCGAGCTGTGAATTAAGGCGTGAGAATCTGATTAAGCCAGCAGACTGGTACATAACCATAAAATAAGGATGACCACAGTGTCACATGACTACAAACAACGATCACTGATTGGTGCCTTTCTCTAATATGTTCACAAAAGGCTGAATTTTTTCATTTATTGATCATTCGGCTCATGCAGTTTCAACTATTCGCATGTACTGTTCGTGTGGCATTCATAATGTTAAATATTGCCAGATGGACGTAATTTGCGATTATTTCTGATTCACATTTCTTTTGTGGATAGAGGCAAACCTGGTTTCATTTTTAACATCAATGGCAAATGAGTTGCAAAGATGAAATGTTATTCCAGTCAACTTTGCGTGGCAAATGAAAGAAGACCAGGTTTCAAGTTTTACATCAATGGTTAATAAGTCCGAAAAAGTAAAATACTTATCACCAGAAGATATCAGACCTTAACAAAAACAACTTCCAGAATGTTGTTGAACTCGGATCGAAGTGGAAGGATTATATTTACTGCGCTTTTTTGTTGATATGTTGTTTGAGATACGGAATTAATTATTCGTCACTGTCATTCGTCATGCATACCAGGCATATATGCATGGTATGTTCTGGCACAGACCTCGAATATTTCAGGCGAGTAACTATATAATTTTGATGCTTTAAAAGTAAATTTAAACTTAACAATGGTCAGAATGGTACAGATTATGTCGAAAAGCCTATCATATAATGACACGAATCCTACCTACTTTGGAAAAAAATGCTTTACTCCCAGTAGTGACATGTTGCTAACATCATAAACATATCATAATTAAATGACGCAAATATGCACTGTTCTTAACACATGCATATGCATGTAAGCAGTTTTCCATAAAATTAAAACATATAGTTTTGAAATTATATATAATGTATTAGGCGTAGTATACTCGTACTGCGCTTAATACATTATACTATATTCCATACATGTGGCATTATAGCATCATAAACTTTTTACAACTGATTCAAAACACAATGCTTTATTTGACTGCATCACAGGAAACCAAACACAACATTGTGTTCATTAAGGCGTTACGTCTGGTTTTCTAACGATTATACGACCTTTATACAGCTATATACAAGCTATATACATATATATATTTATAAAATCCATTGAAATATCCCATACAAGATTTCCCTTTCAAACCTGATTAACCGATTTTGACTCGAATTATTGATAAAAATATTTTTTAAAGACAAATTTCATAGAGTAAAAAGGACAAATTAACAATTATACATTGTAGACATTTATGTTTACATATTAGCTAAGAAAGTCCAACGTTTCCATACTAGGAGATCTTATATGAGGGTTATCACGCATATAACTCTTGCATGAAATCCATTTTGAAAAATTTAACGGTTGTTATTATGTAATTAGAGTATGTATACTTAAATATCGTTTCAATATTTCTTTCCATATAGATTTGACAATTCCCTATTTTTGATTGCCAAATTAATGCGTGACGTATATATTATTGGACAAAAGCCTAGAAATTGCTTAGCGAATGAATTCTTCATGCTGGAAAGGAAGGAAACATTTGCTTTAATTGGCAATTTTCTGGTTCTTCTACGGCCTTTGCACGTGTGAAAAGGAGTAAATAAAAAGAATTATTGTAAAGAAAGTTATTGTACCGAAGGCTTGTTCACCAAAAGACTATTATAACAGGTAAAAAAAGTACATTTGCACAGGTATATATAGCAGCTATTATATATACGTAAGGGGGAGATTGTTGTGTGTTTGCTTGAAAATAGCTAGGTGCGATGTTGAAAGCGCGGAGGCACTTTATACTCAAAACAAATGTGTATATAGAGTATAAAAGAGTAAAACATTTCATCAGTTTTGCTTTAGAAGCAAACAAACTGTGTAAATGTGTGGAACATTTACATACGCGGTTTTGATTCTCATATTTAAAGTCATATTAAATACGACTTATAAATACGATTATTCTCCATATGGCCAAAAACCCTACATAAGAAACGTATGTATACGTTCTGTTGCTAAAAAGTGCACCTTCAAGACCAAGAAAGAATCTAATCGCTTCTAATATAGCTTCATTACACAATTTCATATCACCTTGATTTTGTATAACAGAATAGTATATACTCAGAGCTAGCAAACTGTTTGCTTGCGCCAAAATTTACTTAGTTCTTCTTAAACTTCAACACAATCCTATATACTTTTGCAAGGAGCACAGAGTCGTTTATTATCTACGTTTCGAACGTAATCAAATTAGTTCAAGAAAATCCAAATTAGGCATGCTTAGGCAACAATTAGGCATGCTTACATTGCAAAATCCAAAAAACATCGAAACTTTTTCTTCCATTTCTAGGCTGATAATAATCAAAATGGGAAAATTTGGGAACAAATTGAGACGCTCGTTTAGGGGTCTTTCTTTCAGAAGAAGAAACCGCGGAAGGAGAAACGAAGAAAATGCTGAAGGCCAACCAGACGCGAATCCTATCCCTACGCCTGCAACGGAACCCGCTTCCGAAGATAACAGTGTTCAAGCTGAGAACATGGTATCATCTGAAATGTCACAACAGGCCGGTGTCCAAGATCAGTCTGGATCAAGCGATGAAGCAAGTTTAATAACACCCACGGAAAATATTCCCGGCGAGCAAAATGCCGAAGCTGCGTCGAAATCGAAAGAAAACGTAAAATCATCTGAAATCTCGCATGGTGAGACTGCTCAGGACTGCAATGTTCAACATGCATCTAATGCAGATGGAAATCAAAGATCAGAACCTAAGTCATCAAACCTTCTCTCAATGAAAGACGTTGGATGCATAACAAAAACTGAAAGGGGAAACCCGATCAGACAAGATGGTATCGGTGATCAACCAGTAAGTGTATCATCAGAAATGTCGGAAGCGGAGAATTTTCAAGATCTGCCTGGTCCAAGCAGCAATGTCCGAATAGCAGAAAATAATCAGCGAGGCCGTAATGACGTTCCAGCATCAGCAGAAGTTCGAGCATCAAGGCCTCCGTCAGCAAACCTTCTACTCATACAAGAAGCAAGGAACATTTATAGACAAACCATCATGCTTGGGAATCCGGTTACACAAGATGCTGTGGGACACGACGCTATGATAGCTGATGCAGAAGAACCAATAGAGGCACAAAATCAAGAAGATGACGGTTATAGCACAGACTGATAATACGGACAATCAAAAAATAAACATTAATGCATGTGTATATATACTAGTATATGAAATTAAATAAATACTATAACTAAAATAAATAACGATAATCAGTTAAACCACAGTTAATAGAATATACATGGTTTGGAGACCACGTAAAACTATAATACAACTCATTAACTATGTTGAGGTAAATTTATGCAAAAAATTGTTTCTTTGTCATCACAATGTCATGTCTATTGCACAGATAAACCAATACCAATCTTATAATTAACATATTTTTCAAGTCAAGATTAAGGAGCTTAGCAAAACGAATGTCATTGGTAAATTTGCCTAAAATACAATAGACAAGTGACGAGAAAGGAACCATTTTTTGCATAAACCAGGACAATAACATAGTTAATGAGTTGTATTGTACTTTTTTAGTCTCCAAACCATGTATATTCTATTAACAGTGATTCAATAAAATGTATTTGTAGTTAAACTTAGTGTTAGGACGATATGAATCGGGGCAGGTTTAGTCAGAATAAATCACACCGCTTAACTTCAAATTCCAAATACTAACAACGCTATTTTACATAAAATCTATTAATGTGATTGTGCAAGTTAGAGCTGTAGCAATATATTCTGACTTACTCTGGATCCGCCACTTAATCAGGAATGGTGTAAATGGGGTATAAGTTCATTGCTCTGAGAAATCAATTATTATAAATATATAAACCATTATATTATGGCACAGATGGTTGTATCAACGATGTAAATAAACGGCGAAAATAACGGTGTAAAAGGTAGAAAAATTATACGATTTCATTATAAAACGAGAGTGGCTAATATTTTGTTTTTGGAAGAATATACAGCTGTTTCTGGAAAAATACTTATTAGCTTCTCTCTTTCGGTAGTATACATGCTAAAAGGCAGCGGTCTGTTTTGCAACCCATGTAGGACTTCATGTTGAGTTGACAATAAAAGGCAAATTCAAAAATTTCCATAACAATTATAAGCATTAAAATTGCATAAATTTCGACCGCGTATATGCATTTCAAGCGTAGATATTTCTTACCGGGGTTATATTTGATGCTTTTGAAACCATATCAACATCAGTCTTAAACGGTATGTTTTACTCCTTTTTTCACAAGTACAATGATAAGGCTTGATTTGAAGAACGCGTTCTATTGCGATGATTACAGTTACTATAAAATACTAAATAATTCTGGTATTTAAGGCAATAGGAACGGTAAACGATTTCGATCATTCTCGTAATGAACGCAATGATATCCACCTGTTGCTAAAAGGTGCATCTTCATGACCACGAAAGCACCTAATCGTTTTAAATATTGCTTCATTAGACAACCACCTAGGTGAAAAATAGAGGTCTCTTAATTTTCAAATAACGGTGTATAAACACTGACACACGTTTTCATGCTGTATTGGTCTATAATGATGAAGACGTAGCGAGTTTAAAATTGCGAAGTGCAAAGAAAAAAAGTCAAACGAAACACCATGATACAGTGTGTGTATTTATTACTTATTGCTGATGTTGTAAATTTTATCCTGCAGCTTATGTTGTCATTTTGATAAAAGGTTTTCAAAAGGAATACATCCGTGGTTATATACATGCACTGTCCGCCAAAGCAATTTTGACGTAAAACCCGGCCGGAAGTGCATTACTTTGCCGTTGCCATAGTTGCTGTCTGCTTAGTGTTAAAAAATGAATATATTAATATATTTGCAAATTTGTTGCAGCTTTCAAAAAAAAAATGGGGGCATTTTGTAGTAAACTGAAAAACGTATTTGTGTGTGGTTATGGCATGGAAGAAGATCAACCTACAGCTGTTTCTGAACAACTGTCACCATGTCACGTGTCCAATTATGGCATTGAACAAGGTCAATATGAATCACCCGAACCACAGCAGACCACAACTGTTTCTGAACCACTGTCACCAAGTCATGCGTCCAATCGTTCTCTGATCGTACCGATGCCTCTGTGATGAATTAATAAGGACTAAATCTCGGAGTAAAGAAAATTATATAATAATCGTAAAGGAACTAACCGTAATTCTAATCTGAATAGTAATAGTATTATAGTATATTTAAGGGTAAAATCGTTCTCGCAAACGATATAAATTAAATTAGCTATGATACATAGTGATTATGGATATAAGTCGTAGATGAAGTAGGCCTATAATAGTAAACTTTTGGTGTCTTGACTTTTGGGGTTTAATTATATTAATTAGTGTACACATTAATATTTAGGTAAGCTGGGAACTATTCGTGTTCACATTGTAATAACTACATCATAATTTGATAATTGAATGATTGCAATTTGTATGCTTTCTTGCCATATCATTAAATCATACTTGTTTTCGCCTTATATTGTGTTCTTGTGAATGAAAAACTCTTTGCGTTCGTGAGGCGCAGGAACAAAATACAACGAAAATTTGTTCTTTCTATCGTTTATTTGGGTTGGCGCAGTACTTCTACAAAACGCACCATTAATACAGAAAAAGAGCCCAAGGTTTAATTAGGAATTAAAAAACGAGTCACGTGTCTTTATGGAGTAATTTGCACAAAAAGGGAATGTTGGGAGATTACGAGAGAAGCTTGTCGAGTATTCTCCTAACATTCCCCCGAGTGCATTATTACACAAAAAAAGCACGAGGCGAGCTTTTTTATTTCGTTTAGAATATAAGAAGAAATTACAGGGCAACGACAAAATTTAATTGTTGATCAATAGTGAAATTCTCTCTACACGCTACTTAAGATGTTGCTTAGCAACAAAGACAGCTCGGTTTGCTTTCAGCAAGCGACTTTACAGCTCAAAATTCAGCTCTCTTTCCGAAATTTTTGCAAATATTTCTTCGCTGGCATTAGCGCTTTGGTTTTCAGAACTAGACTATTGCATTTTAGTATTTCATGTTCAAGATGTTAACTCATTTTGTTAAGTCTTGGACGTTAATTACTTTCCACAAGAGGCGGGAAAATTTCAAGAAATACAAACAAGCATGCCGCACAATGCACCCGCATTAGCCAATGAAATTGCTAGTTATATCACACATATATTATAATCTAATTTTATGCGAGAATACTACGTCATGGTGAAGACATGCTATTTTGGTCTGTAGTCCGTCATAGAAGTGATCATAACGGAAAAGCGACCTTCTAAATATGCTATGATTTTAACTACGTAAAATTACTTTTATAGCGATACTGGATTTTAATTCTAATTCATTTTTAATAAGAAAATGCTTCCATAAACATCCAAATGAAATGAAGAATGTGTATCAAATATTCCTCAAAGTTTAACAAAGTATAACGTCTATAAAGTCCATCACTTATTAACAGCACAACGGGTTATTATAATCAGCAGTTACTTACATTTAAAATAAAACACAGAACGACTAATAATTCAAATTAAGAAGAATAATTTATATATATTGACTAGTTAATTTTAAGGCCTATAGCGAGCCTGATGCAGCCTATATTTTCATTTAAAACGACTTATTACGTATATTTTCAACGTTTTGAAATATGTTTAATGCATAAGGATTAATACATATAAATTAAAATCAACAGGAGTCGTGGATTATATCAAAACACGATAGCTTCAGTAACTTTTAAAAACGTCTTTGTCTATCGACATTGTAAGATGAATGTACCTCCTACAGGGACGTGGGAACGCAGTAAAGAAAACATTTTATACACCAGTCTCAAAGAGTCAATAATACGGACATAGAATAGCGAAGTTTTATATCAACTCTTATTAAGAAATGAAAGAAATACTTCACAAGATTATTTGCGCTGAAAACTTAATCATTGGACGTAGTACTGGCCACCATCAAGATTTCAAACGACATTTAGGTTTAAACGGGAAAGTGTTTTGAGATTCTATAAGAGCTGGTCATAGTATTTTGGTTTCAGTTATTTCAGGAATGCACAGGAAAATGATCAAACTAACTTTCAGGTGACGTTATGTGTTATTGAAAACCCTAATTTATACATGCAAAACAAAATGCAAACCAATCTGATCTTGTTATATAAATTAGCAATCTTAATACTTCATTCAGGCAAAATACTTTTATACTATATTCCTTCAGACTATCACATAGCTAATCTATATAACATTAATTAATTCGGACATAAAACATCTTTCAGAAACTTGATATCTAGGCAACAAATTCTCAAAATATCAACGCGCATTTACCTTTAGTACCATACAAAATATCCATGAAAAGTTGCAAAAAACCTCAAATGGACATGCGAATTAGTTTACCTTGTTAAATCTTCTACATATAGCTACTGTTAGCTGCTAATATTTTATTTATGCACCCCCTTATATTCTTTTGAATATTCAATCGGTAAAAAAGCTAACCATGTTAACCTATATAAAACTTTATTTATATGCTACTATAACCACATTTACAACTACAAACTCTAGCTGTACTGTATAAGGAATTGCCCTGTACTGTATAAAGAAATGATTACTTGATTATCTTAGCTTTATAGCCAGCTTGTAGTCGAAATTGGTAAGATATAATAAGATTTCATTTGAATACGGAATTTTTGCAACCTCGGCAAATCAAGGCAAGGTCTTAGAAGCCAGGAATTTGGTGCATTATGTTCAAATATAAATGTAATTGAGACAAATTGTAGCCGAGAAAGTGCAAAAAAACTGCTTAAAAACTGTTAAAAGGTTACTTAAAATCAGCCGTTTGCCATTCGCGGTTTGCTATATTGCATCCGCTAATTGGTCTCTGTAACTGTCCTCCCCAAAAAGTATAAGTTTAATTTTTATAAAACCGCTCAATGCTATATGCTATATATAGACCTGTATATAATATATACAACGATATATAATAATAAGGTAAAGGCTGTAATCTCCGTGTATAATGACAGGTGTATCGTTCGATTACAGTTTGCCAATATAAACATACCGTTGTGAAATATAGCTATTTCATGCCAGTTACATCTGATTCTTGCTTACTAAGTAAATCTGGAGTGTTTTCATAAACGTTTACATCATAACTTAACGAGCTATGGTTCATGGTTCAATATCGGATTTATATAAAGGAATTTTCGCCAAACAAATATGCAAATTTACTAAGAAGTTTTGCCTCACCAGAACTGTGCGATAAGTACAGTTAAACGGTAAGTTTTTTTATTGTTCTTTAACCAATATATATTTTTATTATTTCTTTATAGTTAAATAACACGCGTTTTATGGCGACAATTACTAATCAAAATGTTGATATTTTACGGAACTCAAACTTATAATTTATGCTCTAGAATGCATGAAAGTATGGGTGAAGTATTTAATCCATTTAATTTGTTCAAAGAAAAGACCCTTCTATAGAATAAGAAACAAAAATCCCTCTTAGATAAACTTTTTTATGTCATCTATTAGGGCCTGGGTAATAAATAGAAGTCTCACAGTTCCTCCAAAGGGGTTTTATTGGGACACGAGTAAAATTGCAACGTAGCAAAATTTTGACTCATTTATGAAAGGAAAAAATTGGCTTAACATCATTATATGTAAAATCCTTATTGATAACATTATTTATCTATTAACAACTCATGCATTATCTTATAATTCCTGCCATTTTGAAAGTATTTTGAATAGAATACATACATTATTCGATATAGATTAGAACCCTGAGAGAATAACTATTTTACAGAACGCATGTCATGCACAAGCGCCATTACTCGCTAACGCTAACTTGTTGACACGGCATAGTTAAAATGGAAACATGCATGCACCAATTTCGTCACCGCATGATCACAGATTAAATTGGCTACAATCAGGGCTCTAAATTTAAGTCACTGTTCGACCACCTCTTATTCCTATCATTAAAAATGAATTCCACTGCATGCTATTTTTATTTCCTTGCGATAATTCTCAAAATTGACAGCATGAATTTTTTTGAATGCATTGAAGAAGACACATTCAGTAACCAGTTGTGACTGTACAGATGTATTAACATGCATGCATCTAATTAATAAATAATAGTTCAGAATATTAAAGGTCTATATATAGCCTGTGAAAATTTATTCCTGGTTCATTGTTTCAGTAGTTCATTGAAATTCTTGATAGGATTCTGTTGTAGTTTGAAAAAAATGGGAGCAGTTTGGAATAAACTGAAAAGTAGATTTCTGTGTGATTATGACGAGGAACCAGATTATCAACTTGAATCGTCTTAAACACAGCAACCTCCAACAATTGTTGAAGAACTGGCATCAGGTCGCACCAACCGTGCCTTGATTGTCCCAATATCTCTGTGATACCCCAGATCAAATTATCAAATAGTAAATGTACGTTTGCTGACTATTATTGTAGTCTTAAATAATAATAAATTATTTGAAAGTAAAGTCGGTTGCGAAACAACGGTTTGAAAAAAAGTGTAATGATAAATGTTATTATAATGTAATGTAATGTAATGTAATGTAAAAACTTTATATAAATAGAGTACCCAAATATACACCGTTATCCATGGGCATATGCTTAGGGGCACTGATAAATAGTACAAATGAAGTAAATTAGTCATCGATAGAATAACAGAAAACTTTTGTTCGAAGTCTCAGTGACATTATATCACTCAATTATTGATGTATCGTTATAACTACAAGCTCATGCATGCAGTGTATACTTCATAAATAATTTTTGATATAACTGTGATACTCAATATTTAAAGCCAAGCAGTTTTTGTTTGCTTATTCGCTTGTTCTCCTCTTTGCTTATTGCTTATTACTCCTTGTTTGCACCCTGCATAGGCACCCTCCTTAGAAGCTGAGTGTGTTTCTATCACGGGTTCTTATTGCTAGAAGGATTCCCACAAGTTTTTGTAGGTCATAAAAGGCCAATGTTGATCGGTTTATATCAAAGTCTATACGACATGCTGTCGCTTCAGAGGATGTGGATATTTTAGAGAAAGGGGCGAACAATTAACTATAACAAACGCATGTTCCTTGAAGAATTTCATTCGCTAAATAACAAAGAAGCAGTTAATGAACACAAAGAGTTCCCACGAATATACATTCCTTTTGTCAGAAGACTATAGATTAATGACTTGCTAGAGACACTTGATTGGACATGACCAGCTAAATAGGGCTGTTCTGTTTTATTCTGGCTTGTATATACTCTGAAGAAGGTCGCAGTTAGCGATCGAAAATTTAGTCTTTTAAATAAAGTTTTAGATCCGTTTCAACCTTTTTAATTGTATAATATATGTACATATAGGTTATCTATATAAGATTTTTTAATGCCACACTTCCTTTGGCTTTTCAAGGAGCGTGACAAAGAGTAAGTGATAGGAGTGGGATACAGAGTATTGTGGGTGCTCTGAATTGGCTATAAAAGAGCGTGATAAAGAGTTAGTGATGAGAGTGGGGATACAGAGTATTGTGGGTGCTCTGAATTGGCTATAAAAGAGCGTGACAAAGAGTAAGTGATAAGAGTGGGATACAGAGTATTGTGGGTGCTCTGAATTGGCGATAAAAGAGCGTGACAAAGAGTAAGTGATAGGAGTGGGATACAAAGTATTGTGGGTGCTCTGAATTGGCTATAAAAGAGCGTGATAAAGAGTTAGTGATGAGAGTGGGGATACAGAGTATTGTGGTGCTCTGAATTGGCTAAAAAGCGTGACAAAGAGTAAGTGATAAGAGTGGGATACAGAGTATTGTGGGTGCTCTGAATTGGCGATAAAAGAGCGTGACAAAGAGTAAGTGATAGGAGTGGGATACAAAGTATTGTGGGTGCTCTGAATTGGCTATAAAAGAGCGGGATAAAGCGTAAGTGATGGGAGTGGGATACAGAGTATTGTGGGTGCTCTGAATTGGCTATAAAAGAGCGGGATAAAGAGTTAGTGATGAGAGTGAGGATACAGAGTATTGTGGGTGCTCTGAATTGGCTATAAAAGAGCGTGATAAAGAGTTAGTGATGAGAGTGGGGATACAGAGTATTGTGGGTGCTCGGAATTGGCTATAAAAGAGCGTGATAAAGAGTTAGTGATGAGAGTGGGGATACAGAGTATTGTGGGTGCTCTGAATTGGCTATAAAAGAGCGTGACAAAGAGTAAGTGATAAGAGTGGGATACAGAGTATTGTGGGTGCTCTGAATTGGCTATAAAAGAGCGGGATAAAGCGTAAGTGATGGGAGTGGGATACAGAGTATTGTGGGTGCTCTGAATTGGCTATAAAAGAGCGGGATAAAGAGTAAATGATAGGAGTGGGCGTCATTAAACTTTAAACGGCAATAGCTTCTTTTACATGCCGAATTTTATTACCAAACAGAAAACATTGCATTGCATTCTGTTGCAACAATCAACTCTTTATACAACTGCTCTGCGCCCTTACTTATTAAGTATTCATTAATGACTGCGGTATAATGAAAGACTAATCAGGTTAGGCCTTTGATGTGATGCGCTTCTTACCTCGCCTAGCCGGGATAACTCGCTCCATGTAAACAGGCTCTTAATAATAAGCTCGTAACTGCTCAGAGCTCTAACGCATTTGCTGACAACTAATATGAGCTTTTACTTATAATTAAGTCAGTTTTCATTAAGTGCCGTCGAACACTTGCTCGTCCCAGGGGCAATTTTGGACAAGTGAGCTGCTCATTCGCCCAGAATTGCCTCTGGGTAACTTAATAATTCTGCTAATACTCAGGAATTGATTAAAATCCATGTTATGGATATAGTATGGATGATACTAATTCCCATTTCCATGAAATGGATACAGTATATGGAAATAGTATGGATGCTAGTTGCATGGAAATAGTATGGAAGTTTATAATATCCATACTAATTCCCATTTCCATACTATGGATATAGTATTTAGATATAGTATATATGCATGCTAGTTGGAAATAGTATGGAAGTTTACAATATCCATACTAATTCCCATTTCCATACTAAGGATATAGTATATGGAAACAGTATCGGTGTAGCAAATTTCCATAGTATATGGATTTCGAAAAAAAATCCAATGATAACTTACTCAGAGCAAGTACTCGTTTGCTCACAACGATTCTGAGAACATTTCTCATGTGCCGTGCATATTTGCTCTGGGCACTGAATTGCTTCAATCGCTCATGACTTTTCTAAGCACTGCCTGATTTGTCAATGATGAGACTCGATTCAGGTCATAAATGAAATAATCATCTGTCTGTTTTGTGATTTTGCAGGTCAATTGAGTAAAAATGTAAATGCAAAAACATCCGAATAAGAAAAGGTATTCATTTGCTTCATTCACTCACCGATATTTTCTCCAAGGGCTTCCTTAAGATTAGTAATCCATGTTTTCAAGTGCTCAATTCACAAAATCTTCGAGAGTGCTCCCACAGAATCTCTGCAAAGAAACCGAGAACGTTCTGGTCACAAAAGTAGCAGTTATTTTTAGCAGAGATAAAAAGCATAGGCAATATAGCGTGCAAATAATAAAGATTATGCTACAGAGGCTTACAGGACTTAAATATACTTTTAGGGTTCAGTTTTGCCTATTACTATTTTTAATTTACTAGATAATTCATACGGTAGTGTGATCTTTAAGGTCAGAATTTCCCCATTACAGATGGTGGGCGATTAACCGCATGTATATATGCTAGAACGTTTTCCTATAGATTTGTGAAGCTACATGGTAGCTACTTGTTGAAAATCAAGCTTTCATTTGGGTCTGTTTTAATAACTAAAGCTGGAACTTGACCTCAATATTAAGTATATAGGCTAAATTAAGTTATTTTCCCGGGCAGTCATCTCGGGCAGTGTTTACAGGTGCAGGATCAAGCAAATTCCAAAATAGCGATCCCTAAGCAACACATGACGTGTATATATGTTGGCAAAGGAAAATGCTTTTTGCGTGAAAAAATTGCTTCTAAAACAGGAGAAGACAACCTTCTTGTACTCAAAGTCGTACTCAAAGTCGTACACGTAGTCACCGCTAAAGCTCCCTAATATCAAATCAAATACGACAATCGCATACTGGATAAGGTAGGTATACTATATGCGAATACAGGGAATATTTTAATTGAGATCTTAGTAATATTAAAAAAATTGAAAAAAACGATCACGACACAGAACTTCAGTATACTGCCGTCCGCGATTATTCGAGGAATTTAGGTTTTCTACCTATAAGTTCCTTAGCAAAATATCGGAAATTAAATCGCGTTGTCGGCGGTCGGAATGGTTACCATGGCTATGGCCATGGTTACTACGCATTGATAATGCCATGGCTTTTTTAAAACAATAACAAACGAAAAGCCCAACCAAATACATGTCTTATGTCCGTTCCAGACGATGGGCTTTCTCGTGTATCGAGCTGTTAAAAAGCAGTAGATAATCAATACAGTGAACGGAGGGTACGTAACATTTCCTACCTTATTTTTCAGAGAAACATGACACACAATTTTGAACACGAAATTAGCATGCAAATTAAGTAAGAAATTTTTGTTTGAATGAAATATAGTTGCTATGCGTAGCATCGAAATTCCCCTCGATTGTTAGATAAAATTTCAGTTAACACTAAAAGGGTATGTACTTTGACCTATAAGACAAAAATATCAGGTTCTGTTTCCTTTACCTATAATGAGGGTTTCAGTAAATAAAATAGAGCAAGATATAACAAATCCTTGCGAATGTTATTTCGCCTACGTTCCATGATTTTCATGCATCCGGTTTATCGGAAGTCTTATATAAAGAGCATAAAGATGAGCTTAAAAAGCTCAACAGAAGAAAATGAAATGCCCATAATGTTTAGAATACAATTATTTTGAAATAAGTGGGAAGTGATGCACAACAAAATCATACAATGTTTCTAAAATCTGATAAGTAGCCAACCTCAATAGCATATTACCATCAAACTGGGTAGCACCGGGGCAGTAAAAGAAGTAAAAAACATAATTTTCTTCTTGCCTAGATATTCAACAAAATGCCGCGTTGGTTAAAACCATGTCCATGGCGATGTCCATGTTTTGTAAAAGACAACACGATTCAACCTGCACCTGTAGAGGAGGTTAATATATCGCCACAAAGAGATGAAAACCAAGGTAAAGGATCATTTGTATTTTTTTTTCCAATTAGAGAGATATGAAATATGAAAGTAGGGCTAAGGCCCGTTTCCGACGTTGAACTTTTTATGTGCCGAATGAAATGGAAACAAAGACTTTAGCTCGTTAACATTAGGTTAGGATCGAATTGGATCGAATTATAATATTTGTACAAAATCGTTTTATCCAGTTATAGTTATATTAAAAGAAATAGACAACATTTTTTCCTGTGTTTCTATATACAATTATAAAAACACTTGTGGGAGTTTGGGAGAACTCGAAATAATCATATAACTGTATAGAAACACGGAAAATGTTTTCCATTTCTTAAATATTCTCTGTGCTGAGATATGTCGTTTAGATACAGGAAGAACAAAGTTTGGGATACAAGAAGAAGGTGAAAGTGAAAGAAGACCTCCTGAGGAACACGCGACGCCTGTCCAAGAAGTGGGTTCGTCGCTCGAAACAACATAACAGAACTGTATAATTATTAATACTAACATAAAAACTACAAAATTTTATTGCATATTATATAGTGCAATTTAAAGCCTAATTCTTCACCATCCCAAACGTCACGATTGATGCTGACTTATTACAAATTTCCACATAATTTTGAGAATAATTATTTACCTCCCCTATTTATTAGATCACATTGTAAAGTATCCATAGATCTTTTCATGAAACGTTTATAAAATATAAAAAGATTTGGTAAAGCGAGCCCCAACCCTGTTTATGGATTAAATAAAATCCTAAAATGAGTAATTTTACGCACGCGTATACACAATGAATTAAACCACCCGAAGAGATGTATGTGGATAGGCTCTTGGAAGCCAACAAAGACTTTTGAAAACTGCCACAAATTAAGCGATACATGCTGATAGCGTGCTTTGTTTCAACAGAATTAAGATACGATTGCTTTAATCACGAGAATATATTAAACTGGAAACGTTGCATGCAAGGTCACATAAGTGGTCGCGTGGGCAATATTTACATCCAAGACAAAGTAAAATGCCCAGTAATAATTTATTTAAAGCAAAGCAAGAGTCGTTAAATATTTGTTAAAACTGAAGGTTTATCTCGTGCAATAAAACCTTTCACCTTTCGTGCACTACAATAACGCTTTCGAGCAATTCTGCAATATTGCATTCAATAATTGGCCAAAACACGTCTTGCCTTAACAACAATATAATATGGCACAGAGATGACGAGTTGAGGATACTATTTTACAGCCTTTACCTTCGCGCGTTGCATACCTATTTGGTTAAGGGTCTAATGCGGACGCGTGTTATCTCATGAGCCCCATCTTGTGCTTGTTATGAGTTGCACATGCAGTACTTCATGTCAATAACTTTCCTCTCTATCATATCCCCATTCATTCTCAATTTTTCGATATTTCTCTCGAAACCAATGCCAACATTTAAGTTCCGACCAATATCACAGTTTTGTGCATTAGGAACAGCAACGCAAGGAAAAACGACATAAAAATAAGCCATTAAAAATGCGAGCTTTCCGGTTGGGAACAATTCTGCATTAAAGCTGAATTTAATTTTTTTAGAACGCCTACAATTCTTAAGCGTACTTCTCGTTTGGGTGTCGTTGACAGATGTTTCTACTCATTTATCTATCCGATGTTTGAAACATAGTCTTGAAACTCCGACGAAGTTTGTGTTTTAAGCCTGAAATGTTGTTTTTGATATCTATGTCTTCAGGTTAAAATTTCAGTGGCTCTTTTAAAACTCTATATATTATTAAATTTTTATTATTCCTGTCTGTTGTGCTGTCGACGATAGCGATTTTGTTTGTTATCTTTACGCAAACTCATTCATGTTTTGATTTTTGAACAATAATATTGATCCATATTTGGTTGTTCATTGAATAATTCTTTATAATTGGATGGATCGATCAAAAACAGTTGGAGTTTTCCCGGTAATCCTTTGTCATTCAAAAGAAGTAAAAGTGAAACCCACATTATTACTTGGTTTACACTTTAAAACGAAGAGATGCTCGACTCACAACTAACAAAGACAGTTACGAAAAGTGAAACTTTCAACCTCTGGCAGGTATGGTATTCAACGCCAATCACGTTGTATAGTAACATAACAACGTAATAGCGAATTTCTATGTACAACTTTACCCTGCTTATGTTGCCATCCTTTTTAATTCCTTTTAGAACGAATCGCATCTTTTCTTCGAATTTCGCTCGACTATCCCTTTATTTTGTTGCTATTAGGTGATGAACGCTAAATATCAAAATCCTCTTTCGTGTACGATTTTTCTTTTGAGAATTTCGTGGCAGCGAAGGAGGGTTTAAGGTAGTTGAGTGCAGTTCAAGCTTGATTGCTTCATTATTTAAACCGAACTTACTTTTGTTTAGGGCCCAAGCACTCGGCATTTTATTTTACTTACTTGTGCTCGTATTGACTGCCCCGTCGTATTTCAATGTGTTTTGTGGAACCATCCTGCACTCCATAAATCATTTTCTTACTATATGGCGGATAAAGAAAAAGAAATATGAAACGATGACGAAATTCTACAGCTATTTTTCGCATTTGGATCGTAGCCAAGAAAATTAATTACAGATGGCCAGAAAGCTTCACGAAAAAGCACTAATTTACGGCTACATAAGATCACAAATGAAAACAACAGGATATATACAACTGTGACATTGAAAGTTGACGAACGAAGACAAAAAGTACACGGATGCCTTAACAAACATGGTTGAACATTTAAAATTTAGTGGCGTAAGCTACGAAAAGAGATTAATTGCGCCAATGTGGGAAGCAATTACTCGTGTTGAGAATTATTCCTGCTTGCAATAATGGTGAAGCGGGCTTGCAGTGCAAAAACAATGACCTTGATATACAATCGAAATATAAAACAGACTGGCACCCATGATAAATGTTTTTCAGTCAATATACAGTGGAAGTCTTCGGTCGGTTGCCGGTCGGTACTCGGTCGTGTTTGTTCAATGGCCAAAACCCGTCTCGCACAGTGAACTCTATATATATGAAAGGCTCGCTCTAGTACATTGCGTAATCTAAATGTGAAGCCAAACATAGCGGATCATGAAGGCTGCTTGGGTGACGAACCAGACCTCCACGCAAAACACAAATATACGGCATAAGTTACCTCTCTAGAAAGAATAACATTGCCAGGTAAGGCCGTAATGTTAGCTTTCTTATTTTTTGTCATAGTTTTATAATTCATGTTTTTAATTTCCACGCGCGTTTCGCGCATTATACGCTTCCTGGAGGTCTGGTTCGGTACCCAAGCAGCCTTCATGATCCGCCATGTTTGGCTTCACACTTTGAACGGGAGCGAGCCTTCCATATATATATATATAGAGAGAGAGAGAGTTCCTTGGTATCGCATGGTTTTAAACAGACATTTAGATGTATGCATTGGTAAGTTATAATGTGTTTTTTTTATTCTATTTTTGCATTTTTTCATATTGTCTGTAATAATACAATATTGATATTGTATACTATCGTTTTCGCCAACCCTGGCCGTTTTGTGTACTTACTTACAGCTATAATTCAAAATGCCAGCAATCGGAAGAAACAACAACCAGCATATAGCACTCTATGCCCAATTATCGATGGATATGCACACCACGATATTCCAAAACAAGCCGATCATGCAAGAATCGATTGTACAAAACCGAGTGAAACATCTAATGGCTTCTCTACCTGCACGTGATGAAGCGATGAGGGAGTTATAATATCCACTGCACCAATATGAAGCTTGGATTTCAATAATCATACATTAAAAACATTGTTTACTAGAAAACTAATATAATGATTGTAGTATTTAGTTTTCGTGCAAAAATCGTCGATAAACGTTATTTAGTAAATACATAACAGAAAGTACATGCACGTATTTAAGACATTGCAATTTGCTAAATGTTAAATGTGAAGTGTTGGGATGGATTGGAAGAGGATGAAGTTGATATTGAGGAGGTTCGCGATTTAGAAATATCGAGGATGTTGTGATTGATTACAAACGAGCAATGCAAAAGGGCAAAATATTATTATTCTATTTCTTTTCCAGCACTAAAAGCCTCCAAAAAAGTAAAATTTTTCACTAGACTGGCATCAAGAGATAAAAAAATGTTGTAACACATCCACATCTTTGGTAACAACGCCAAAGCACAATGATTGCCATGCATCTAAAAGTTATGAATCTAAATTGATCTTATGATTGCTATGAATCTAAAAGCAGATTTCAATTTCATCAAATATCCATGCATTTCAGAGTTTATTGATGCCACCAGTTCTTAACTATTATAAGGTACATGCAATTAACCAGCCATTGTAATAGAACACAAGGTAACATTAAATAGCCAATAGTCTTAAAAAGATATCATGTAAATTTTCAAATGTGGCACATGCATGGTCCCAAAAGGACATAATTTAGAATTCCTCTGCAATCAACACATACTACAAGCAGTGACGTAGCCAGAACGATAGTTGGGGGAAACTTAGCAAGAATATGAACTTGGTTTTATTAATGACTATGTAAGAGACATTTTAAAAACATCACTATGTTCTTGAGTTAAAAAAGAATATCTAGCGAAACGGTACAAATTTGATGGTCTTTTAGAAAGCACAAATATGTGGTAACCTTAATTTCCACTAAACTTGCATGAAATACTTCTTTGAAAGTACTTTTCAAACTGAAGCGGGCGTTTTAGGTTTAGAAATTTGCTCTAAGCTTAATTGACTAGTCATGTACTGAATAATTGTCAAAATTTAAAAAGTTATTACAAATACACGCGGTGTAGGTGGTACCTACAAACAGATGATTAAAGTTAGAAATATTTCAGATGGAAAAGGCAAAGCCCATTTACACGAAGTACTATAATAACTATCTGGGCAATTATCGTGGGCGCAAACCGTCCTGAGCCTGCATTATTTGCTGTTAAAATCTGAAGAGTACTTTATTTAAACTTTACTCTCTTTCCACTCATTCTGTATTTAACGATATTGCTCTAGGATAATTAATTTGTGCTCACTTTATAAGATCCAATATACATAACAGAGCACAGCATTAAGAACAGAAACGCAAAGACAAACAGCTGAAATTACCCCATCAACAAATACGATACCCCAAAGACTACACATGGATTCTAAAAATTGAGTGCGAGATATTTTGATGTTCCTGCATGATCAATGTAAAAGTGTTTTCTTGATCAAAGGAAAGATTTAGGGGGAAACACTAAAAATCAAGCTCTTATTCGAGTGGAAAATTGTCATGGAATCGTTATGAGGAGATTCAGGCCTTCTACTCACTGAGTTTAAGTGTGAGTGAGCCTTTAGAACACAGGCGTAAGACGTGAGAACAAGTGCTTTGCCGCGTTGTATAGAGCTTTCCATTATAGTTGGGCACCTGCGCATTCATTTGCAACGAGGTCTAGATAAGTGCATGATATCAACAAGCAGCTATATACTGTGTATGAACAATGTTTTGTCGGGCACCACGAACCTTGGACAAAAGTCCAAGCTAGGCTTCTCGATACAAAAACATCGACCAGACATTGACAGCAAACCTAGTTCCAGAGATTCTCTGTATATGTAGCTATATCAGTTACAAAGGAAGATATCGGGTTTGATTGGTGTTTTTCATATTTTTTGTGTAAGGATATGTGAGAAATCTTACGTTCTTATATAATGCAATGTTTTAACGTACGTTTGAATAAAGCTTTTTTCATCTGTTGATATTTGATAATATTGGAAGCGTCGCAGGCTATTCGGGTTTATTAAATATTCATAGAATCTGTCCGCATCTTCTATAATTGGGTATATTTCGCTAAAGTGATTGTGGCGGGTAACTCTACAAACAACAGCAGGTGGTTGCTGAGATTGTTCAAATCGTCCAATGAATTCGTATTATTTCGTTAAAGTTGTTGTGAAATAAATTAGCGAAAATAATTGGTCCCCAATATCGAAACTACCTACTGCATGCTGGATGATAAGTATAAGGTTTATGTCATCTTAAAAAGTTGTTAAGACTATGCCAATGTCGAGGAGCTCTTGTCAATGACAAATAAGGCGATTGATAATAACCTACTTCACAAGGACTAAGCAATACAAGTTATACAACTTTCATGGCGTGCGATGCCCGATGTTGTTAACGCTCATATTGAAATGGAATTGCATTTTTTTGGATATCCATTCCATGGCCGGTATAATTGTTCCGAATGTTGATCTATGTGTTCACTCTATATGGTTAAATACGTGGTGGAAGGCAGTAAGTAGAATCATAACCACGTCACGCATGGTAGATTCGCTATTAGACTTCAGCATTGTAAATTATACACAAAATGCGAGTCCAATTAGATATCTCAAAGGTATAGGTATCGTTGTTAATGCTACCACTCACAATCTCAATGATAATTTAGTGATACAAGAGTCAGAAAATATAAAATATCTAAACAGATTATAAGCACTGATAGAATATAGAGGTCTCTATAGAAGCCTTAAAATCGGTATCATTTAACGTCTGATTCAGCTAGCTGAAATAACATATTATATTCGGGTTGGACAGTCAAGACAAGATCATATATACTGGATAGAAATGTTACAAACGAGATTGCCTGTGAGCGATTTCAAAATCGAGGCTTTCAAAATCAGCCTGACTTTGCGAAAAAAATTGTAGCGAAAGGGATAAAGGTATTCGTTCTTGTCTGAACTCACAGAGGTATTTGTTTTATTACAAATGCACTACTTTCATGAATAATGGTATGGAAACGCTAAACAGAGATTGATGAGTACGCAATTCATTGAAACAACAAAGGCATGTCTTGCAAAATTCTGTCTTTTTCTCCCCTATATAAAGAGTCTATATAAAGCTAGCAATTTCGGATATCTGCGAAACCGACACAAACACCCAAATACACATAAAAAGTTGGGTTGTTTAATAACATTTTAGACCACGGGAGAGTATATAACGAATATGGAACGTAACAGGATGGTTAAAGCCCTCTTCAGAGAAAAAGGAACAACGATGCACAGGAAATACAAAATCTTCATTTGAAAGAATCAAAGAGACCGTCTTTGTTCCGGGTAAGTTCTTTTCTGCATTTCTTTTAAGAATGAAGGTTCATATTAATCGGGAGTTAAACGCACTTTGCATACGCTAATATTTATAAAAGCTGTATATGGTATTCAAGGAGTTTTATGACATGTCGAATATGGAATGGTTGTGTTTGAAGAGGTCCACATTCGTCTCTACGTGGTAGCTCCACAAAAAGTCTGAATGTACATTATATTAGCACAAATAAGTGGTAAAAAACGCAGTTGAACCAGAGCGACCTTCATGCATGGAGGCCAGTAATATGAAAAGTATAGTTTGGTGTTTTATATGAAGTATAAATAAAAAAATAATAAAATTATATAGAAATATATGCAAAATTGAAAATAAACATAATGCTTGTAAATTTACTTCAACGCGTAACGCGAGCATTAACTGCGAGGCTAAAGAATGGATGTTAAGACAAGGTTTCTACAATACATAAAAGTGATGTAAACCGCATGAACCAGATCGCGACTCGCCCGATCTAATCGTATACTACTTTCGGTTATATTTTAGCACTCGTCTTAATTTGAATTTATATTATCATTTAGGCCATGTAAGCGTATGAGGAAAAATGGAAAGTTAAACAAGTATGGAACCGGGGGGTCAACATCCTTTATGGAATAGGGGTGCGGAGAATGATTCCCGAAAAGACATTTCAATCAAAAACAAGAAAGATTCTATTCATTAGCGGTAAGTAGCTACTTCTTCCTTATATTTTCCGCAAGAAACGTATATTTATGGGCAATTTAACGGTAATCGCTTTATTAACTTTTCGATAGCTAGCAACAAATCAATTATGATGTATATGAAGACGAAAATCTAACTGATGAAGCCATTTAATGGCGGCCATGTTGAATGCGAAAAAAAAACCCATTTGCCCTTTGGGGTGACTTCTAAAGTTATAGATATTAATGTAAGATAAATTTTTTTGTCACAGTAATTTAAGTCCAGGCAGTTTGAACAGAAGCGAGAACTGTTTTCTCTATATTCGTCTATATCAAAATGTCTTCGAGAGCTGAAGTTCGGCGAAGGAGAAATGTCAGTGGAGCATTATCAGGTACAACTAACCAGGCATTACAACATAATCCTGGACATCTTAAGCTTTAGGAAAGAGTACAAACCTCAGCACTATACATATATAGCAGATGCATGCATATTCCTGCCTATTTTGTCTAAACAGAACAATCCGCAAATCATGATTTATTTCTTGTGACACTTCACTTGGGGATATCTACCCAGTGCACTTTGCCTCAATAGCATACAAAGTTATTGTAATCATCTGGTACCATTCACGTCTTTCAAAGAACATGGAATTCCTCAGGACATAATACATCTGCAGCCTTTTATGCTTTTTACAGTAGCCTAATCTCACATAGATCTTTCAACTGAAGGGAAAACATCAGTCCGGTTCTGGCATTGTTTCCCGAATAGTATTCTTTTCAATCGCTCTGAAATTTGCCTCTGTCCAGCATAACCTTGATTAAACCTTAGTAATTAAAAATTGGCGATTCTCTTTAATAATTCCTAGCTCCAGCCGGTTTTTTTTTGGTTCTCCAGCTTTTTTACATCAGTGTAAAAAATAATATTCGGTTGGTAGTGTTATTCAGCCGTATATATCTTATATGATTAGCAGATACTAAAAGTTTTTACCTTCGGAAACTAACTCCAGATAACCACGCGTATCTCATTGGTATCCCATTTATATCTACTTTGCTCAATTCAATCACAGTTAATCACCACACCACTCTCAGTAGAACAGATTCTACTACATGCAGCAATATACACATGCCCTTCTATAGAAGGATAAATTTACTATGTTGCAACAACAGATGGTGTAAGCTTCTAAATTAGAACTAATCTAGAAGAGCAAAATACATCTACTGTACTTTCCAGGAACCAACACTGTCGCATCTGGTACAATTGGGATACAAGAAGGCACATACCTTGAAACAGCAGGTACAACAAGTATTTTTTCTTTTTTTGATACGAGTTCAAATTATTCTTTACCATACAATAATAATACATTGGCGTCCCCCACCTTTGGAAACCTTCTTCTTCCAAAGCTCTTTTGGCTTCCCCACCATAAATAGTCATTTAACTTTTTTCCTTTAACCTATAGTTGTTTCCCCTATATCACCCTACCATTTGTAGCCCTTCAACTCTCTCTCAGGTCACTCCCCTATCCCCCAACATACACCCTGCACACACAACTAAGTTGCACATGCTTGAAAACAAACTTGCTTGTAAAACGCAAACCATTCTGCAGTTTATGAACCAGATGGTTCCACGCACCCATCCCACTTCCATCATGATCTTTCATAGCTACAGCGAGACTCACTCCCACAGATAAACTTTAATTCAACTAACTACCAATTAGTTTTTAATTACGAGAACATATCACGATATTTTTTGCAATTTTAGGAGTACCGACCGCTATGGATCAGACGTACTCTTTAAGAGTACGAAGACCAATTCAAGAAAGCGTAGCACTTTCTGAACACATGAGAGATAGCGAAAGAGATCCACTATTACTGTAAAAATAATTTACAGTTGGGATGGCGAACAAGGAATGCTTAAACAATTGAATATCAACAATCAGAATACTGAATAACCGTTGATAAATTGGTTTGAATTGATTTGTGCCAACACCAAGCTTTCGCATTGTTCGTCTAAGTGGATTCTTTAATTTAATGCTAGGCTATTTATTATTGCCAGGAAAAAATCAAGGTTAAATTTTGTGCCTTACGGGATACTTGTATAAAGATAAATTGCTTGTTATTTATAAATTCATAGTTACTTGTACTGGATTTCTATCGTCAGTGTTAATAGTTTAGAATATTATATTATGGTGCCAGTACACCAAATCTAAATATGGAATGCTTCTACATGTCCCAAACGCAGTAACGATAGCAAGACCTGCTAAATAAAGCGACATTGCGCCTCATTGTAAGATATGGACATAAAAATAATGAATAATAACGAAATTAAATTAATAAACATTTGCCGCTGCACGCATGTGGACCTACTTATACTTATAATACAACCACCAAATGTGTCGTTCTTTCCCAAAATTTCAGCGGTCAACTATATCGTCAAATTAACCGGCAAAACATAATTCCTGCTTTTGCTTTTGCCAACAAACCGAAAGTTCTCCTAGTCTGTAGACAGTGAACTCTATGTGAACTGGAACTATCGATAACTCGGTTGCGATCTTTGTCCTTTGAAACCACTTTGAAGGTGCATTGCATGGGCACGAGTCTCTTTATATTGCTTTTGTCATAACAGTCGACAAAAGCTAGAAAGCTCCTGGCCCTGGTGCCCAATTCGACTTTAAATATACGGCCAGACAACCCACCAACTAGTTCTTAGCCCCCCTCAGCGCTCTTTGCATTCTTGTGACGTCACCGGCTTGGACGTGCGGGAGAGGACCAGCACAAAATGTTTCTAATTCTGAATTCAAAATGGCGGCCAGAAAATTTTTCTCATGCAATACTGATCTCAAAATATTTGCATAAGCGACACTTTTTGAAATCTGAATACTTTGTGCTAGGCCTCTTTGCGCGGGCTGCCCTGCATAATTAAAAAGGCCTGTTACTAGGCTATGAAAGACCCGTCAGTTATCGTTCCAATCTTGATAGAGCTCACTGAACAGCCGTAGAAAAAAACAAAACGTATAGAACTTAAATTGCAATTGGGAGCTTATACATAAGCGGTTGAGTGGGCATTCTCCAAAATTTTTGCGATGGGAAATTAGTATTTCCTATCTGGGCCTATTATATTACGCCTCACAAGAATATGCTGTCTGGTTAATAAACGACAGTAACCCGTCGGATATATACGTCAACGAATTGCTGATCAACCGACCGGTACAAGTCCAGCGATAAACCCCAATACGACCAATTGCTTTTTGGCAACTTAGGAAACCTGATAACTGATTTAGGGGCGTAAATTATGAACACAATATTTTGTGCGTACAAAATCGTCATAAAATTTCTACGAGCACGTAGTGCAAATCGGTTGAAAGACGAAAAGTTTAATATGTATATATGGCAATAAAACTGAAAAAACAACTCCGATTAAATATAAGTATATATATATATATATATATATATATATATATATATATATATATATATATACATACATATATTATATATAAATATATATATTTATATATATAATATATATATATAATATATAATATATATATATATATATTCTGACGAAGGGGCTGTGCCCCGAAACGTTATATATATATATTTTTTTCTTCAAATGATGTTTAACTTTTTGATTTCAATGATTTGAAGCTTTATATATATATATATATATATATATATATATATAATATATATATATATATATATATATATATATATATATATATATATATATATATATATATATTTGGTGATGTAGGTTAGTTATATTACAAAATATCATTATCATTAAGCATATTGGCGAATCAAAAAAATTCTTCCTATCAAGTGTAAAGGCAGGCCATATATGTATTGCATCACTTTTATGTGCGAAATTTTTTAAACACAGCGGGATTGTGAGAACCTATTTATTAGACAAGCCAAATAGTTATAAATAACCATGAAAACAGATATACCATTTGAAAGAGTCACGTGTTAATAAAAGCAACGCTTATTGATTGGCCCTTTTAATAGAAGATGAATAAAAGTAGGTGTCTAAACAATTATTGATCACTTTGGCGCAGTCCGTTCCGAATACTCGCATGGTGTCCACGTATCGATTTAAGATACATATACTGCCGTGCAGGGACGTTGAAGATGGCAATTCATTTCGGGGTATTTCAGTTTGGCTACGGTATGTGGTGGAAAACAAACCGTGGTTTCGTTTTTCACATGGCGAATGCCGTTGAATCATCGACAGAGTTGGTGGATAAAGCCTATAACTTTTAAGATATGAACTTTCAAGAAGGGAAATAATTCACCTATGGCGGGTGACGAACAAAACGTGAACACATTCGAAAAATATTGTTGTATTAGATTTTTACGATGATAATCATTTCAGTGAAGATGAAGCGACCAAAGCATAGCAGCAGCATTCAATGGTACAAAATTGTTGTGTCATCGTTCGTCATGCATTTTTGCATGCTAGGAATGTATTATTGAACTTCGACAATTTCAGGTGAGCGCAAACGATCTGTCTTTTGAAAGTAAAATCAAACTTGGTCAACAGATAAGGAAATCACAATCATTATGTATTCAGTAAAGAACAGCAGTTACCTTCAACAAAATTGAACCACGCTGGAAAGCGAGATAATCAGAATTTTCTATTTGGGTAATTATATTTTGATCTAGAATGTTTACGTGGTTTAATTCATATGACGCAATTGCTCTTAACGTAGGAAAATAATCCTAAAAAACTATGGCGAATTGTATTTCGTCTTCAGATAAGATGGATAAGAAAATCTTCCTTGCGATTCCCTAATGTGGAAGGTCATTGATTATTTCAATCCGGGAAATGGGTAGGCAAATTGCAGTAGGGGCAATGTTCACATATATATGTTACGCACATTTATATAAGCCACATTGTTTGGAATTTCAAATAAACTTCTAGAAGATAACACACAATTTACAGAACCGATTTTATTTACACAACAGACTACAATTATCTTTAGATCTATCTCCCTTAGATTCATCTCCCTCTATTCCTTCAATATATTTATAAGGAATGCAACCACAGCGATTTTTCCACCACCCTTTTTGGACAATACAAATGCAATATCTTGGCGCGTACGATATATAAAGAATGCATATAAAAGGAATATTTTAAACAGCTAAAATTATATGTGGCAAATTATTTATTGATTTTTAAATCGAACCTTTGTTAATATTGTTATATATTATATAGTGCCTCCGAAGGTATGCCAGGTATCTTTAGTCATAAAGTATTATTATTGTTTTTATAGACTGAGCTCTGACGCACGTATTATTGACAATGTGAATGATTATATGATTTAAATTCCACGAACTGCGATTCTTTATAATTAATTTTTGAAAACGGGAGTTTGCAATTTTTTTATTTATTGGATTCGCTTACAATACCAAGGTAAACTCTTAGCTGTATAGCACAAGGAAAGACAATATGGCTACCGTTATTGTTACCTATACAGCACTCTTGATTTAAAACTGTGTACTGCATGCACACAATAAGACTATGCGAAAATAGTAACAAACTTTTGTTGTCCGTACTTGAACAATGAGTGCTCAATATAAAGTTTTTTTCTGTACGTTCCAGGTTCTGAACATGTCAAATTTCTGGGATAGAATTAGGTCAATAGGGAGCTTTATTCGCAGAAGAATCACACCAAGAGGAAGAAATAATAACAGAGGGAATGGCAGACTGCAACCAAATCAAGTGCTTGAAGCATATGTAGTACAAGACCATCCTGGGCCCGCAAACGGCAACGACAACGTGGAAAGGGATATAAACTCAGGAAACTCGTCAACGAATCCTCTGGGAGAGACTGGGAGCCTACGACGAAGTTTTCGAGGCTGCCTGATAACAGAAGAATCCACTGCACAATTACCTGAAAACAGAGAGATACAACAAGGAAGTTCACAAGAACCGACTGGTCAAGATCAGCTTGATTCAAGCAGTGATGCAGACGCCATATCACAAACGGGAAATAACTTCCAAGACAATAATTCCCAATCCACAGCTAACTTGGGTGGAGAAGAAGAATCAAATAATAGCTCAGATGAGTTGTCTGCGGACAATGAGCTAACGCGGGGAGTAGCGTACGACGAAGCACTCAGGGCAAACCAATCACGCAAGAATCCGCAAGAAATACAATATACGGGGACAACAACGGATAGACAGGGTATTGTAGGTTAAACTGATTGTATGGTAGCGAGATTTATTGCTTAATTTGATGTTGAACTGCATGATTGTAGCGAGTTGAAGATCTGTTCATGCTATCAAATTTTGTCCGATCTAATTCATTTATGATGCATATTATACTGTCTGTTGACATGCGAAGTTTATGGCAGCAAACCAACTACGCAGGACTGCCGTAAGAGTACGTACCATACGTTAGAAGTGAATTCAATCAGACAAAATAGGATCGCTCATCGCTCGTGTAAACAGACCTTAAAAGATGTGGCGTAAGGGATGGAAGCTAACTGATTCTTTGTTGTTCTCGAGCTCTGTAATACAATGAATCTTCATAGCTGCTTCCACCTTTCGTAATTCATGTTAGAAGGTAACAATTTTAGCTATATGCATATATAAATTTGTACATATATTCAAAATTAAGTTTTAAAAAATATGAGACCTTTATAAAATAGCTACCCTAAACAATGTAAATACTGCCTCAACTTGGATTATGTGAATATATATAAATACCTGCTACAGAAACGACAGAATGTTTCTAACTTGTTTGTCATGTCAATATAAATAATGCTAAAAATATTTTACCGTGATATTTTTAGTATCAAAAATAACTAAAAATCGCGACAGTTAGATTGCAAGAACACCTACAGAATTTGTTGTCTCAGCTGTATTTCGTTGCATATCGGATCACATATCACACTGAGAATTACAATGAATGTTATATGTTAATTATGTCTTATGGTTTGGATAATTATATTACATGACGCCCCCGCATTTTGCTGTCGTTGATATTTCGTTGAGGACAAGCTCAACATTTCAATACCAAGTAGTCTATCTGGTTTATCTTTGGCGGTTGATGTATATATACTGACTATTAAA